CCTATCTTTGACCGCCACTCCGGACAATCTCCTTCCTTTAATTAATTATATGTGTACATCATTTAATAAAATAGATTAATTATTATAATAATTAAATAGAATATCAGATGAATTGATATAATTGTTTAGGTCAGAGCTGACCCTGGGTAACCACTGGCTGTCCAATGCACCAGCCTTTCCACAAACACAATTAAACATCTGTCACCCCGTAATTATTAAGACACCTCTATAATTGATGAGAGTGCTGTTCTAAATTGTTGACTGTGGTCTGTCCATCCGATATCACTTATTTAATTTTCTTAACCTGTTTTTTGTTCAGAACTGTCATTAATTGTGATTAACATAAACTTATTTTTAGTACAGGAGGTCGCCCAGCTACTCTTTGAATGAATGAAAAATAATTTTATCGTGGGGCTGAAGTTCCCTTAGAATAACAGCAGAGCTACAAAAATATACAAAGAATTCTAAGAAAAATACAATTATATACAAAAAATACTGAGAGAAAGATAAAAGTAAAATGGCTCTTATAAATTAACTAGGCAAGCAATTATAATTACACAACTTAAAAATTTGTACAGGCTTGCGCAAGCTTGAATGTGTAGTAGATGGAGGAACAAGAATTGTTTGATGGAATTTGTTGATTTGGTTTGACGTATGGAGATAGGTAATAATTTAGCACGAATGACGAATGATTTGCTGATGCAAGTTGTTTCATGGAAGGGAATACATAGATCTACAGGTTGAGATCGGGCATTAAGATAGTGGGTAGAGAAGCGTAGAGTAATGAGTTCTAGGATGTAGGTAGGATTTTCTCGTCTTCCGGTGTTATCTAACGCAATTTTTTTAATGTTTTATTTTTAATTCTAATGCGTGCAGTAGAAACGTTTCTATTGAGCACAATAGTCGTTAATCAGATCTTATATTTTAGATCACTTTATTAAGCTCTGTTGTTAACGCATTGAAATATTTTTTTTACTTGTGAAAAACGCTTTCTGAAACTTGAAAGACTTTATAGCTACCTCATACAGCTGGATGATGTGTTAATAGTGTGTCTGTACTTAAAATAATACGGACTCGATAGGTTTGGGACGAAAGTACCGAGACGTATTATAGATTCAATAAGAGAAGACTTGAAAAGCTTGAGAATAGCACAAAGGTCTAAAACATATACATATAACATATAGGTGAGCTTTATCTTCAAGCTCACGTTTCGTGCGAGTCAACGCATCAAATGGTTAGGACATGTAGGATGGGCGAGCAAGAATTGTACAACCGAACTCCTTATCGAGTCAAATCTCGCAAAAGAACTATGGAGAGACGGGGGAGATAAGTACCTGAGTGCTACAAGAATATGCCTTTTAAGTTGATAAATAAGTATAATACCAGTTGTAAGAACGAGTCGATGATAATTACACTTTAATAAACTACTCAAAAAAATGTGCACATGGTATCCAAAACGTTGCTCAGTTGCCGAAACGGCAATTAAATCAGAGTGTGTATATTTAACAAGACGAAAAATATTTCTTTTAAGCCGCGAATATAGATTACTCTAAACTAAATACAGAATTTCCATTTCTGTTCCTCCGTCATCGGCAGGATAGCTTATGCAATACTATTCGGCCACCGACATTAAACCCGTTGTCCAAACCGAATCCCACGCGCCCTTCAACAATGAAGCTCATTACATGATCCGGTTGCCCTGTTGCGGACGCCAATAGATGAATAATGTCGTAATCCTTTACTTGGAGATGATTTTGATCAAAGCTTATCTTATAATGGTCCAATTAAAAAACCTTATTACTTACGTGATAATAGCTTTATTTCTGAAATAAAGATGCAGCGGTTTAATGTGAAAGATCGAACCCAACGCTTCAAGAATTTACAAGTTTAACTGACAAACATCTTGTAGAGTGGCTTCTTGGTGGTAGATATTGAGTAAACATTATTATACCATTCCTGGGGTACTTAAAAAGCTTACGGAGGAAGAGGTTTAAATATCCACGACACGTTACAACCTAGGATCAAAGATATGGTAATATTGACAAAACTCGTTTATTCTATTATATAAGGTGTGTGAATAAGTTTCTGCCGTTTATTGTCGGAGAATGTTTTTATATAGAGAATGTTTCCAATAAAAACTACAGCTGAAGGGTACATTCTTATAGGAATTTACGGCAATCATACTCTATCAGTAAGAACATGCTGAGAATGGTATCAACGCTTTAAAAACAACGATTTTTTTCTCCGATAATACGACCATCCAGACGCCCCAATAATTTGAACATAAAGATTTGGAGATGATCCATGCCAGATGCAAGAAAAACTGGAAGAATCATTGGATCGAACTACAGTCGCTAAGCTTTTGAAAAATCTAGAGACACTATAAGTCTTGAAACCCGTAGGCTCCTAGTCACTTCCTTAATATTTCCCCACTTTGACTATTGCTGTACCGTTTATGGGAGCGTCTCTGTGAATCTCGAGGCTAAACTAAAACGTTTGATAAATTGCTTTGTACGATTCATCTTCGAAATCCCAAGGGACGCTTCTGTTTTCCGTTTTTATGCAGAGTTGAAGTGGATTTATCATTCCTATCGTCGTTAGTATTTCTACGCATCCTTCATCTTCCAAGTCATTCAATCCCACCATCCTTCATACATATCCGAACTCCTTCAGTTCAAATCCTTTTTTTCGTTCCTGCAATACTCGTTCCTGGTATTCATCCATTATCATCCCTTCCTACATCCGTCAATCCAATACCCTCCCTACCTTTAAATCCCGGCTGTTCAATTATTTCTTATCCATCCAGTCCCCATATAATTGTAAATATATATATATATATATATATATATATATATATATATATATATATATATATATATTATTGGATTGTTCTTAATTATTTTTATTTCGTGTTTTTAACCATTTTTTATTAACTGATTAAAGTTAGAAAGTAACTTATATTTTATTATTATTATTTCTTCCTTTCTGTATTATTCTAAAGGGACTCCAAAAATAAATAAAGTATTATTGATGATAACGCTCAATCTCATGTTTGAAACCCGTTTATAACTTATTGGGATACGCTGAAATGAGTAGCTCTGCCCAACCTTCCGTATTCACCAGACATTGCTCCTTCCGATCACATAAATAAGTTTTTATAAGATTATAAATAAAGTTTTTATTTTTATCAAAAAACGGGGGAACTTATTCACACATCCTATAATGTACCCTTTCTTTCTCCATTCAAATCCTGTCTATAGTAGAGCTTTCGTATCCTGAATGGTTTTGTTATTAGTAAAATATTTGTTCCGCTTTAAAAATTATTCTATATGAAATTTAATCGTTGCTTCTTGAACACGTTATATCAATCACATAAATCGTTTGTAGATGGAAGTTCTATCGGTGACCATAGTGATAGAAACATCCAAGAATAATGAATCCATATTAGGTTGTTCTTAAAACCGTTATATTACTGCTTTGACGATATTGCTCCGTTTATTCGTGACGGTGATGGAGCGACAAGGTGGAAGCGGCGGTTACAAGTGGCCGGAGGAGTGAGGACTGAAGAGATCTTGTATTGATTTGGCGGCAGGATCCCTACCTCAACATCATTCTCCGCCAAGGCTCTCTTCAAATTGCAAAATTTCACTCCATCCGATTCTAACAACTACATAAGTTTTATCACAGAAAATAAAACTGTCAGTTTAGCGATTTGGTAATCATGCTCAGAAAAAAATATGTACATCAGTTCTTTTTTTCTGATTTTTTTATAATAAACATTATTTTGCAGAGTTCCACAAAATCCTTAATGAGAAGTAATATATTTTTTGTTTTCGTCGTTAAGCGATTTGACTAGATATTCGTGTTTAAAAAAATAAAATACTTGATGCTTGACAGCACGGGCGGATCTACGGGGGGGAGCAGCTGTGGGACTAAACCCCCTCCTCTCCACAAAATGGTAAAATATAACCATGTTCTATCTAAAAAAATATTAAAAATTTATCTCTTAAAGTATTATTGTTCGTGTAGTTACATTTAAAAGGACTTTAGGAATCACTTAAACACCATTTCATATAGGTTGTTAGTTTCTTTCTTATTTTCCAAAGTAATTATCCTTATTTTTATGAAAAAAAAGCTTTCGGGCTGAAGCCTCCCCCCTCCCAAAATTAACTCCTGGATCCGCTAGTGCTTGACAGTTGCATATTTTTGAGTAAGGAGATCATCCGAGGAGGCAGTCTTAAAAAGACTGAAATTGTGAAAAAAATATTTTTATTTAAAAACTACGTTTCGACCCAACTTCGCAGGTCTTCTTTAGGGCTAAAACGCACAAGATATAGTATATAAAGATGTAAAAGTTACATGATATTGTATAGACATTGTGAATAAACTTATTGAAATTGTAAAAAGTGTTAATAGCACTATGCACACTTTGAGAGTATGGTGTTTGGCAGCTGTATGCGTCATGATACAATGTGCACTCTAGTTCACCCACAGTCCCCACCAAACCTCAGACACGTTCTGTCATTTCAAGTTTTTGGGTAACTATGGACCTTATTATTTACGTACTTCACTTGAATTCAATTGTAGCTTACAATTGTGCTTTTTTTTAAAAAAAAATTCCGTTATCCAATTAATCACATCCAATAAATACTTGTTAACTTGACCTCTTATCAATTATATGACAGATCATTATTTTGTGAAAGTGTATTGTTTTGACCAAAGAGTTCAGTACTATCAGTCCAAGCAGGTCTAAGTAAAGCATCATAAATTAGTCTTTCGCTTATAAACAGAGTTATATCATTTTAGTAAGAACCTAAAAAATAGTAAGAATCTCTATAGTACTGTGATTTTTTTAAAGGTGTTCAGGATTGAATAAAATAGAACCATCAGGTATTTTCAGTACACCATGATTTACTTTTTACACTTTAAATATGGCAATGTGTTATATTTTAAACAGTCATTTTTACGGGAATTGATGAACAAAAGATAAAAGAACTCACCGATCCTCCCCCTGCAGATTCTCCAAAGAGGGTTATCAGTTCTGGGTCACCTCCAAAGGCAGCGATGTTATCCTTAATCCAGCGGATGGCCAAGGCTTGATCCCAAAGTCCCATGTTACCCGGAGCGTCGTCGCTCCCTCTGGCCAGTTCTGGTTCCAAGTAGAGGAATCCAAAAGCACCTGAGTAACAATATTCCATTAAGGTGTAATATTAACATAAAGATTGGAAATACACTTTAACAATGAATTTTTTTTTAATGTGAAAACTTGTGTGAGGAGTAGTTGACAAATATGGTCTATTTCGGGCTATTATAATATTTGTTTTGTATGGAGTCGTTTTATTTTAAAAAATACAAACTTACAACTTCCAGGCTACTCCACTACTAATCATCTAACCCCTCTTCTCATCCACCCATCTAATTTCCATAAAATTAATTGATCATAAAGCAACATTTGTTGTTTTTATCGCCAAACAAAAAAAAAAAGGGCGAAATGCTATTCTTTCCACTCCTTAGAACCTTTATTGAAGCATTCCTCCTAATGCAACGTACAGCCACCGACAATATCTAACCTTGTTGTCACTTACATTAGTGCCAGTTTATTAAAAATGGATACTTGGCATATATTTTTCAGTCGAGATTGATACAAATAGTCTGACATAATTCATAACATCTTAGAATCGCATCTTATCTTATATATTTAATGTAAACTAGTAACCAAGATTAAGGAAGCATTGAAAAAAAAAAAAAAAAAAACCAGGCGCCCAACAAGTAAAAATTCCGATAGAAAATTATATTTATTAAAACTTATTTTATTATATTTTTTTTTTGGCCATAAGCTATGTAACCATCGGTAAATAGTAAGTATGTGATAGCTGATTATGAGCTTTTAAAAAACCACAGTTTTTTCTTTATAAATGAATTTGTTACTATCGACTAAATGATGACAATCAGCAAAATGAGTTGGTAGTTTTGGAAAATTATCACCTATAATCCGTGGTAAAAATTCATTTTTATCAAATTATTAACATTCGTCTAAAATTTCGTGAATGGCTTCATCATATCGTTAACTACATCTTTTTTATCTGCGAAAATTCTAAGATTTGGGGCTTTAATTAATTTATATTATATTAATTAATTTAACGAAGTACTAAATACTCATAAACATCCATTTGGTTTCCACTTGAATCGTTAGATAATTTGATTATTTGATCGAGAAAAAATATGGCCTACGAAAAATATTGGTCCGTTTAGCTTATATAACCTCGTTGTTTCGACATGCTGGGGATGGGGGCCGCAAAACGGCCCAATATTTTTCTCGATTTTGTGATTAAATTATGCTACGATTCAATTGGAAAGCAAATAGGTGCTCATGTATTTTTAGTGGTTTTAGTACTTAATTAAATAAACAATGTTTACCGATCTGTCGATTGAAAATGGCCCATTTTCGAGAACTTTTTTCAGTAAAGACGTTATAGATTACAATAATACGAAGCCTCAGTATAGAGAATTTTGTTACTCACATACCAAGGAGCTTTTGTTGTGCATCGCAATAATTTGAAATTTTGAAGTTCTTGTAAGTGAATCCTTATGGTGATACGATATGTATGTTGGGAGAAGATATGGGAAAACTGTTGGTAAAGCAGTTTGAATCATTATTTTAACAAGCGCGCCCCATGTCAATTTACTGTCGAAGATTACTCCAAGATAAAGTACTGTCTCTCTCTGAGGAATAATGGTTGTTGACGAAATAAACTGGAAAGAAGGTATTTCTTGGTTATATGTTTGAATTTATCATGATTACATATCATTTTCCATAGTTTGAACCAGTCTTTTAATTTAAGTAAATGACGTTATAAATTGAATTCTGTGTTTAACATCTTGATATAGTCGAAGACGCCGTATTTAGTTTGTGGTTGGTGATGTAGCCAGATAAATTAGTAATGTTTGTGGTGTATATTCATTTAAGTTGAAGTTTGAATTTAATTTAATATTAGTACTTAGTGAAATTATTTGATAACTCAATATAAATATTATTAAAAATATATATACATTTATTTATCTATTATTTACCTTTGATATCCTCATCCCTTAAAATGTATACGATCTATACAGTAAAAGAGAATCCATCTCATAAAGTTAAAAAAATGATTTATTCATCTTTTGGGATAACAAAAAAAAAAATATATCTATTCAACGAATGAACTAGCAAAGGCGTTTTTCACATTATCCTGTATATCACTGCCCTCAATTTTCATATATCCGAAAGGGCTATATCACACACAACCATAGGCGGATCTACGAGGGAGGAACTTTCGGGCTGAAGACTCCCAAAATGGTAAAATGTAATCCCCTGTTTTATGGAAAAAAAATATTGAAAAATTATTTCTTAAATTATTATTCTTCGTGTAATCACATTTAATAGGATTTCAAGAATCACTTAAACACCATTTCATATATGTAGCTAGTATCTTTTTTTTCCAAAATATTTATTCCGCCCAAAATTAAATCTTGGATCGTCTATCTTGTACAGAACAGAATAATCTTAGCTTAGTTTAGGTTTTTGATTTGTAGATTTTTTGGGGATAGTTTCCTGTTCCGCAAGTTACTGGTTTATCCTGAAATGTTACATATACCGAAGGGAAGCCAGATGGATTTTTGTATTGGACATCTGATTATGTTGATAAGTTTGTACTAATTTTTTAACAAGATGTCTCAAATATATGAGCCTTTCAGTTGACAGAATGACCAACTCGAAATTCAACATTTTTTATTAAAGTCATTTTAGTAGTAAGCTGATTCCAGAGTAGGTGATTGCAGTGTAGGAATATAGGACTGTGAATAGTGTTGCCCAAAATTGGTCTTGGTGTTGCACTTTGCAAGACCAAGACCAAGGCCGCCTAACTGTTGCAAGACCGAGACCAGGACTGGTAAAAAAATCGATTTTTAAAGTAAAAATTAAGGGAAAATATTTACTAATACTTGACAATCTTAGTTACTATATGTTAATAATTGGTATAACCAATATACCTTTGGATTTAACTCGTCTAGTTTTTCATTCTGGCTTAGTTACGTTTCTCTTATCTAACAAATTACAGTAATATCTCTATAGTAATAAGCTAATAAGTAACTGCAAGATTGTTGCGAGACTCTTGCGCAAGACCAAGACCATGACCAAGACTGAGTTTGCAAGACCAAGACTTGACTAGGTCTCGCATTTGGGCAACACTAACTGTGAATAAAGGTGTACATTTCCCCAATAGAAATATTACTAAAATTAATAATGAAAAAATTAGAAATTGGTGTTAGTCATTCTGTCAACAGAAAGGCCCATATAAAAATCCTGTAGTAAAATCTTTAAAAAAAAATCTGACTAATTAAACCTGTAAATTTGCCACTCTTAAATTAAAATATAAAATATATTATAAGTGATAAAATATAAAAAAATGTCTGCTCACTCACCTACTCTGTACTGGATGGAAGCTATGATTACGTCAGTGGCGGCTGCGAAAATGTTCGAGTCGTAAACGTCCAGCGTTGCTGTGCCACTCATGTAGCCACCGCCGTAGATCCAGACCAAAATGGGTGCCTGTATTAATTATAATATTGAACAAATTTAATAGTAAATTATAGTATAGTAAATTATATATAATAATTGTTACAGATAGTATATTTTTGGAATATATCTTTCAAATATATTCAAGTAATATAGTTTTATTACAATTCAGTAAAGCATTCGCTATTGAAAAAATTGAGTACTTGCATGAAAACAAAATTAGTGAATTTAATCTGTGATAAATAAACGAATTAAACTGATAAAACAACGTATACAGGGCGTCCCGTAAGTAGAGGGAAAATTTTATAGGAGTGATAGCAAATCTGAAGAGCTAGAAAAAAGTTCATCTAAGTAATAACCGATTTCGTGCAGAACAGAATGAAATCGAAATTTTCTTATTTTTCTTTTTTTAGGAAGCTTCTGTTTATATATTTTTCTAAGGTAAAGGAAAAATACTTCTAATTTTCCTCAGTCCTTTTAATTACATCTATTATATCTTTCGTTTCGGGACAATTTTCCCATCCTCAGAGTATTCCTTATGTTCACTGAAATTATGCATATTTGAAATGAACTATTTTTACATTGTTAATTTATTCTATCTATTGTACAATTATCTACCTTACTTTTGTGATGTGGTACCAGTTGTCAAAAATTCAATAATTGTCATATCTTTTTACATTTTTTTTTTTGGTGTTACACATTCATTTCTTATTACACATTATTATCAACCAACATCTACCTCCAGTTCCATTACTGCACTTTGTACCCGTTGGTATAAACTTAACAAGAAATAGCCATGTCTCCACTCTCATGGCGTAGCTCAGTCCCCAACACATTTCTTTAATGCTATTTATCTTTAAAAATAATTATCTGAAAAATTGTAGAGTTTGCGTTATAACCTAAGCTTCAACGCCGAATGAAAGTTGAGAATTCATGCAAGTACTCAAATCATTTCTTAGTTATTTTCATATTGTCTTAATCATTTGTTAATCATTTAATATATTAAAATATTGAATTAAGCTGCACTAAATACTTACTTTTTGAAGATACCCTTCTTGATTTCCCTTATGCCGCAGCCTCACCTTATGGGGTACCCATAAATTGAGGTAAAGGCAGTCCTCGGACAGGTTCGTGTTGGGATTCCACATCTCTTCTCCTGGAAATCCTGGGAAGTACTCATATTTTTCCTGGTAGCAGGAGTTGGGCAATTGCGTAGCGTCTAATATTCCGTTCCAAGGTTCAACGGGTACCGGCCTGCGAAACCTAAGGTTAAAGAGAAATATTTTAAAAAAGGACGAAATAAATCGTAACCTACAAATCATGTAAACAACAAAGTATTTTTGCATATGGATTAAATATCTCAAGAAATAAATGTCGGACCTGCATATTGTAAGCAAGGGAAATGTTCATCGTTTCATTCTCTTTGTAATGAGCTATTAATCAAAATCATATTTTAACGGGACGCCGTGTTAGAGAGGCGAAAAAGAATAAAAAAGTGTTGAAAATCAAGTGAGTACGAGTTTTATTGAAGATATGGACTAAAATATCTACGAAAATAAAAATCAAACCTGCATATCGTAAGAAGGCAATCCATCCTCTATGTAATAGGCTATTATTCAAAATTTTATCTTAACGAGACGCCGTGTTAGAGAGGCGAAAAGGAAAAAAAAAAGTGTCTAAAATCAAGTGATAACAAGTTTTATTGAAGATATGGATTAAAATATCTGAGAAACTAGAAATCGGGCCTGCATATTATAAGAGAGGGAAATGTTCCGCATTTCATTGTCTTTATAATGAGCTATTGTTTATAATTTGTATTTCATATTATTAATCTCGCCTTATTTATGTTTTCACTTTTATAGCGTGGTCTAAAGCACCCAACTTTTTATTTTCCTGTTATTTTAACAGACCTTGCAGATCTTAAGCCTCGTGCAATGGAACCTCATCCTCCACTCCTTATCTTGGGCTGCTGGTTTCCAGTTTGCTGGAAGCCGTTCTGCCGAATCTTTGTTGATCCTATCTTCTCAACTGGTTTTTGGCTTCCCACGTGATCACTGGAGTACTATTATGGAATTTAACTATGTGTTGAGATTTGCTGATTTTAAACTCAGTTGTTGTCATTCATTTTAGTCTTTAAGATTAGGATGGGAGTCGCAGTGAGTGAAACATAAAATTTTTTTTTTTTTTTGTCTAAGTTTCAGTTCTTTATAAGGACTGAAGAAAGACAAGAGATGAAAATAAAAAATAAAAACATATCACAAACATAGTAGTAGATATTTAAATATTTACAAAAAATTACAAAAAAATATTTAAAAAAATATTATATACCTATAAATATTAGGAAGTGATTAAACATTTATTGTGTTATTCACTTCTTTGTATTTATTACTGTGCCCATAAGGAGGTAAAGAACGCCTTGTCCATTTTTGTATTTTTCTAGGGGAGTCAATTTTCCATAACTTTGAGCTATTAAAATTTGTTACTTAGTTCCTAAATCTGTACTCAGTAGGTAAAGAATACCATTTCATACTTTTGTATTAGACAGGGAAGCCAGTTTTTCATAACTTTTCAGCTATTAAAATTTATTTCTTAGTTTCTAAATTATTTTATGAAAAATGGACATAGTATCTTTATCTTCGGGGTACAGATTTATTGGTTTGTAACATTTTTTTATTTTTATATCTTGTTATTTCCTGCTAATATGTTTTGTCTTTATAATGTCTTTCCTCAGCCCTGACGAAGGCCTGAAACTTAAGTCGAAATGTTGTCAAATAAAATTTTTTAGAGTAATCATCATGCCTTCCATTCATACTAATGGTGAATATGCCGATATGGTGTTTGAATCATTTTCAACAACATTTAATATGAATTTACATTTAATTAATACAGTAGTTGGAACGAACAAATAAGTTTTATTTACTTAATATAACGTAAATAATTCATAACAATGAAAATCTTTAGATGCGAATATATCCTAAACAAAGCGTTTGCGGACATACCTTCATAGGAATTTATTTTCTTGTTTTTGAGGTCCTTAATTCATATTTTCAGTTGGCCCACTTAACCCTGAAACACCCTGTATATGTTTTTTTAATATCAATATCTATTTATTTCATTTATTTACTTATTTTCTTCTTATATTATTTCATATAGACCTATAAAAATATATATAAAATTAAATTAAAATAATTATTATTTCGTTAATCACAGTTGGCAGTATGGAAATTACATTAATTAATTTTTTTTCTATTATATAATATGTCATTATTAGTCCACGATGCTCTGAGGAGAAAAAAATATTCTTAATTTTTTTTATTAAACTATTACCACACTCACTAAGCTAAATCCGCAGCCTATCTAAATGTGCAATATTATAGGTTGCTGAGATGTTCGGGGTGTTTCGAATTTCCTTTGGGAGCGATCTACCGCTGCTTGCAGGAAATCGTTTTCCTCAAGTACTTGAATAGACGGCAAAGACAAGATTGGTTAAAATTAGTCCTTCTAGAAGCAAGCGTCCAGTATTCAGTTCATACAAACATTTGTATTTTTAACTTTTTTGTTATTTTTCAAGCGTCTATATATTTATAACTACATATTTGTTTAAATTTCTCAATTAAAATTAATCTATTTTTTTCCATATTGGATCGTGTCCACATTTAAAACCCTCAGACACTGGTTGATTATTTATTATGTAACAAGGTTTTATTTTTCTTTCTACATAATTTTTTTTCGTTTATTAATTGGAAAATATTTTCCAAAATATATCACTTTTCACATAACATTTTAAGTTTTGTTTTTCTATTTATAAGATTCTATGTCTTTAAGATGTATTTAATTTTTTACTAATCTTGAACACACTCCTCAATATATATTTACATATATTTTCCTTTCAATCAAGTCTTAGTATATATATTACAATTTTTTAATTTTTAAAAATAAATTTAATTTATTTAATCTTCTTAAGTAACATGTGTCAATCATTTATTTTAATAATTTAATTTTAGTTTTTTTATCACTACTACGATTTGCTTTTTCAATTTAATTTAACGTTCCTTTCCAAATTTATTTAGTTATTTGTATTTTATTTTTTAGCAGCTATATTGCGGTATTGCGGCATTGTTTTAAAATCAATTTTATAATTATTCTTGTAGTTGTTTTATTACTTATTTTTTAGGTATTACTTTATAGCAATAGCTCCTCTGGCCAGTTGTTATGTTAATTTGTATGAACAATATTTTTATTCTTATGGGAATTTGGCTCAGAGTGAAGTTTGGGCTACAAAGCAGGAATAAGTACAATATACACAATATACACAAAGAATATACACAACTTTATAAAATATTTAGGCATTGGGAGCTGACATCGTTTTAATTTACCCAACTCTGCCACCTGAAATCGATCAATCCACAGTTTCATGGTCGATGTTAGCACGATGTTTGAGAATAAAATTTTAGAAAGAATTTATTTATTTTTATTAATATCTCATCTTATCTTTCAAAAAGTGACTTTTGAATATAAAACAAATTAGTTGTTACGATAGAACAAAAATAACATTAATATTATGTTAGTGTGAATTATTTTTTATTTACGAGACCACTTTTCATTGGCGATTCGTGGGCAGTCAAATTATTTTTTTGTGAACAATAGGAAAAAATATTGCCGATAATGTTAATTGTAAAAACAAAAAAATTGGTTGGAGTCGGTGACCCATTAACAGTGACCTCTTGTTCGTTACGAACTTCGATCAAGGCATACTAATTAATTTTCCTATTTAGTTTTAATTACTTTTTTTAACTTTTATTTAATAGAAATTTTGAATAATTTAAATAGTTTTTATTTCGCTTATTTAACGTTTATTGGAGGTGTATAATCACGGTAATTTGGTGTGAGCCAAATATTACCCATTGATCTCTAGGTGTGTGATTTTGAGCTGGTTCATGTATCAAATGGTATGGACTATATAGGGGTTGGCTCACTGAAATATTTTTGGAACAACAATTGATTATATTGAATATAATGAATACAAACAAAAAACAAAATTTGTGTACTTGATATAATTTTGATAATTTTAGAAATAATGGTAAAATTACTGATGAAAGAAGAAAAAAAATTAAAATTTTGTAGTTTAACATTGTAAGGTTTTAAGTGAAGTAATTTTGCTTCAGACGAAAAACTGTATCATGCTGAATGTGGACGGACTCACGTGCTGTCCAACTCATTTACTATACTTTCTTCACCAGGCTGTTTCACTTGGATTTAGAAAATCATGTTTATTTAATAATGTATAGTACAAAAAAAAAAAAAAAAATGATAAATGAGTGTGCACTCTTCACTGCAGCCTATGCCTAACTGTCCAAGAATAATTGACCTCAAAATGGTGGTCAATAAAATGGTTGTGAGATCCAGAATTATATAGAAATATTTTTTACCTTTTTTTAGTGTTTCAGGGATTGATCCATGAACAGAGGGTTTTCCAATAGTTTCTAAAAATGATTACACTTTTATAAATATTTTGTTAAATTTCTTTTAACTTTAAATTATCATAGGTCATAGTCCGTGGTGCAGATCCCTTTTTATCGAATTATTAACATCCGCCTCAAACTTCGTAATTAGATTTAACTCATCGTAACCTACAACTTTTATATTTACGAAAACTCTTGGAATCGGGGCGTTTTCAATCTGGAGGGGGCCAAACTTTGTCTATTTAATTAGGTACTAAAAACTCGTAAATACACATTTGCATTCTACTTGGATTGTAAGATAATATGATCACACAGTCGATAAGAAAGGCCTTCAAAAATATTGAGCCGTTTGGCGTCACCTACACTCCAAAATTTTCAAAATAACGAGGTTATATAGGAAAAACGCTCCAATATTTATGATGGCCCCCCTTTTTATCGATTTTGTGATCAATTTATTTTACTATCCAAGTAGAAAGCAAATGGGTATTTACGAGTTTTTAGTACCTAATTAAATAGATAAAATTTGTCCCCGCTCCAGATTGAAAGAGCCCAATTCCAAGAGTTTCCGTAAATAAAATAGTTATAGGTTACGATGAGATGAAACTATTTACGAAGTTGCAGGCGGATGTTAATAATTCGATAAAAAGTTGTCTGTACCACGGACTATCATTTTAGTTCTTGAACCATTAACTTAAAAAAAAGTATTAAAGTTTTAAAATTTTACTGGAAAATCGATATTGAGCATGCGTTAGTAGTACGAATTTCCAAGGAGGACGGGTACGAGGATTAATAGGGTTTGTCACGAACTATCGCCAACTTTGCTCTAGATTGATGTAATATATGGTGGTGAGGAATGTTTTGTTATTTTTTATATTAAAATGTCTGGGTATCTGATATTCATCTATGTTATCTTTTCTTTCCTGTTAATGGCCAGAACGTTGTATAATCCTTTGCTTTCTGCTTTGAATAGTCCTTGTCATAATGTAGAAAATCTACGTGAAACCATTCAGAGAACAATTAATCTGAATATAAAATTTGCTGTGATAACATATACGGCTCGACCTAACTTTAGCTATGTTTTCTATTCACCCTTTGACCTCAGTCGCCCCCAGTATGTGGGAGTTGTGACCTTTGACCTCAACGAGAAAAATGCTATTCGCATCACATCTCTTGAACCACTCATGCCTTTGTAGGAACTACAATTTTGACAATTATTTCGTGATATAACTTCGTATCTTGAAAAAAATATTTTTTTCTGTAAGATTTAATGGATTTAAGGTAGGAGAGGATTATTTTTCTCCTCCAACTCATGAGTACGGGAGGTTTTGTCAAGTGTCTATGGTTAATTTTAAGTGTGGCTTTTTTTACGATCTACTACCTCTATGTATGTACATTCGAAAAGACTGTTAGATGTGGAATTTATGATAAAATTGCAGCCAAACGCATTTTGGGCCTTCTCACTGATGTAAGTCAATAGCTAAAAAACTCTGCAAATTATTTCACAATGGTTTATTATTTCCAAACAATTATACATCTAAAGTAACATTATCTTCCTAGTTACAAAGAAAAATAAATAAAAGGTGATTCCAATTATTGGACTAAACATTTTTTTTAATCATTGGTGATATGCTAAGAAAATTAGCATTAGATCGGTAATACATTCAAAATTCAAAAACCAATACAAAGAATATAACCTTTGCAGCAGAACATGTAACAAAAAAAAAAACTAGAGACCATATAATTGCTCTTAATTGTCCGATTCTAACGATTTTATTTTTTTTTAGGAAATTTCGTAAACTTCTAAAAATCCATATACAATATCAACAAAAAAGTATGTACTTTTTGAGTTATTTGGAATTTAATTTTACCATCCCTCGTAACGGTTTTTCCAGCTTCTTTTAATTGAAGTATGTTATATAGATAAATTTAAAGGGCATCAAGAAGAAGACTTTAGCCAAGTTTCATTGAAATCGGTACATTCGTTTAGGCGCTACAATCTATAGCAACGTTTGAAAGTAAAAGGTGGATAGTAATGTCGATGAAGGAGGATCATCCTTAAGGTGACCTCTGGTTATAAATCCAAATTTGAAAAAAAATCGGTCCATTAGTTTCGGAGAAAATGCGAGGACGGCGGAGGGACAAAAAAAGTTTTATTCGTTTTCGAATTCTACCTATCCTGAAACGTAAAACCTCAAATTTTGAGAGGGGTTTAAGTTTTTGAATTTTTTATTCGATTACAATGGTTCGTTATTGAAAATAATAAACCGAAAGGATCATGTGGAAATTAAGTCTTTAGAAAAACTAGAAGTCATTAAAACTCCGATCAATGAATCGAGATGGGACAGATTGCGTTTTATCACTTTGACCTAGAGCCATTCTTGTGAACCTTTTCTCTGTGGACCAAATTATTTTTTCTCTCAAAAGTTTTAATATACTGTTCAAAAAAGTATCATGCATTTTTTTTAGTTTTAAAAATAATTTAAGTACAATAATTAAATAAAAATCGAAGGGCGGTATATGCTTGCCATTGTCCATAGGGATATTAGTTGTTTTTCTTAATTTTTATTTTCCTATTTCTCGTAGTTATGTGTTAGATGTATATAATCATATTTAGATTATTTTTGGAAATTTAAACAAAAACTAGTTGTTTGTGGATTTCAATGGTAGGCGTATACGCCAGCCGTGGTCCCTTGATTAAATCAGTGAGCCGGCATATGCGTACCCTGTGGTCGCTTAAGCGTTTTAAATGTTTTAAAAATTAAAAAAAAATAAAATAAAATATTACTATTTATTATAGTCCGCTTCAAAACAAAAATATATTGAAAAAGTAAACGAAGGATTTTGAGAATTGAAGGTCCCTAGAATACTTCGGTTAATATAATATATTTTGTTAGATTAGTTTAGTATCTTTGAACTTTTAGTATTATTATATTGCTGTTTATTTATTTGTATTTATTGCGCATAGTATGAATGAGGTACTCTTTATCACTATTACTATTGTCCTTAAATGTGACAGGTTGTAATATATCTCAATAAAGAAATATCCATAAAAAAAATCTTTTCTTTTTAACAAATAAAAAGTTAACTGGTGTCTACAGGAATTGTACTATATTTTTATATTATTTCTCAAGTATAAATATTTTTGTGGATATACCTTCGTTAATTGTACATCGAATCCAAAGATTGAGCCATCGTTCTAAATATTCAATTCTCCTTGAGGTGTGAAAAATGAACACGTCCCACAGAAAGGAGAGGATAACTTATTTGTCCATGGCTCAAAAATTGAACAATTTATGATTTATCATAACCAAAATTATCGGATAGGTTTCCAATATCGAAGAAAATTTAAATTAACAAATCTTCGAAATCGAACTACGCAATCTGTATGGGCTGAAAAAATAAGACTTCCAGTACTGTAAAATGGTAAAATATAATCATGTTTTACAGAAACAAATATTAAAAACTATATCTTAAAGTATTCTTGTTCGTTTAATTACATTCAATAGCGCTTCAAGAACCACTTAAACACCATTTCATATAGGTAGATAATTTATTTCTTTTTTTCAAATTAATTATCGTTTTGTGTATATGAAAACAAAATCTTTCGGGTTGAAGCCCCCCCCCCAAAAAAAATGGTAAAATATAACCATGTTTTACAGAAAAAAATATTAAAAACTATCTCTCAAAGTATTCTTATTCGTTTAATTACATTCAATAGGACTTCAAGAACCACTTAAACACCATTTCATATAGGTAGTTAATTTTTTTCTTTTTTTTTTCAAATTAATTATCGTTATATGTATATGAAAACAAAATCTTTCGGGCTGAAGTTCCCCCCAAAATTAAATCCTGGATCCGCTAGTGTGGAGGGGTGTAAATTGAAAGTGATAATAAATAATATGTATGACATCAAAATAACATGTTTTCTAGCATTTAATATCTACACACCTCTTATACTAAGTGAATAGTTAGAAGGGGGAACTTGTATTATTTATTTGTTTTAATTTTTTTGGTTTAGAAAAGTTTTATTATCATATATATATATATATATATATATATATATATATATATATATATATATATATATATATTTTTTTTTTTTTTTTTTTCTTGTGGTATATATAATGTAAGATGTTTATCCACATGGATTGAAGTAGGTTTTAATCGCGCTGTGCTGTTTGTTTGATTAATCGATTTCTAAACCTTCGTCTCCTTAGTACGTATACACCAACACATACCTCAGAGGCCCCAGAGGGGGCTTGGCGAAAGGGATGCCAGTGAAAACATGTACGTCTCTCCCGATGACCGTCTTCTCGACGCCACGGATGAGCCCCGACCTCGTCCTCACCACAAGAGGATCCAGCTCTTCGTGTACCTTCGCCTGTGGTCGGCCCATGGCTCCAGCCGCCAGCGCTACCATCACCGCTCTCCATACCTCCATCTCTTTACATTACCTCTGGAACATCGTTCAATTATAAATTATTAGTAATTTTATTTAAATGTTATTTTCGCATGTAAATTATCAGTTATGGACAAAACAACAAAAAAACAAATTCTCGTTTAATATCAGGTTCAAGTTCTATATGTAACTATACCTACATTTACAAACCAAAGTCAAATTAAAATTAAATAACTAAATTAATAAAAATATATATATATATATATATATATATATATATATATAAAGTAATTTTTTTTTCTTATTTTCAATGGTATTGAAATCCCGAAAAATTTTAAACAATCTCAAATTATGGTTGTTCAGTGCTATGATATCGCCAGTGCTGTTATAACCGGACACTAACTAACGGACTTAAAATGATATGTTGAACGATTCGAGAAAAAAATTCTCCTCACAATAATGCTTGAAAAGTGAAATTAGAGTACTAAGGCACGGACAAGGACCAATAAAGAAGTGCTTACAGAAAATGTTTAAAAAACATCTCATGATATGAAGGCGGAGTAAACGATGAGGAAGCCTCATTAGTAGACTAAAGGCAATGCATGAGGCGAAAAAACAAGATGGCCTGATCAAATCAACAAAAATGTAATAGAGCTGCAAGAACTGCAAAGAAATAGCTTAAAATAGACAGAGATAGAGAAGGCTAATTCAGGCGGCAAATGATCAACAAGGTCTTTTTTTAAAGAAAAATAATAAAAATAATAAATTAAAAAGTAAACAAATTAATTATTAGCAAAATAGATCATTAAGATAAAGCATAATAAATGAGACAATAATAAAAGAAGAATCTGGTGCTGAGTATATATATCAGGCTTCAGCCCGAAAGCCCTCCCCTCCCCCCCCCGTAGATCCGCCTGTGGTATGGCTCATGGCAGAAAATTTATTTATCTGTTTCATTGGCCGTGCGGCGACCCTGCATCGGAAGACCCTCCTGGGGCACACCCAGCCTTTATAAAGTGGGTACCCTTAATTAAATAATTAATTAAGGGGGAAAACCTGGCGGTTGAGCGTGATCTCGGTCAAATCACCTCCTTTCACAATTGTTGACCTAGAAACAGTGCTTTCCCTAAATAGTACTCAACCCCAGATCCTTCATGGGTTGTAGTGGTACAGGTTTTTTTTCAGGGCTGAAGCCTGACCTATATTGTGTGTGTAAGTGAAAAAGATGTATTTGATAAAACATATTCATTTAAAACAGTTTATTACTGCATGGTTGTCCAAATTGTTTAATTTGATAAATCTTCATGGCTACCCTGGGATGATTATCTGGGGGGGGGGGGGAGATTGATGATAGACAAAGGTTCCAACAAAAAAGTTTATTTGATACATAGGCCGATTCCAATCGGAAAATAAGTTATGGAGATATAATACGTCCGCTGTACAGAGATATACTGATCGTGCGTTGGTATTGTAACTGCAGTAGTACAGTAGCCATATCAGACATCTTGAAAGTCTCTTTTATCATTGACCTTACTTAAATTTAATCACTGTTTTCCCAAAAAATGTTGTCTACTTTACGATGATATACTTAAAATACAATTATATTTAACAGTTTTTGAGCAATCCCTATTGTGAACCTTTGTGTTGCAAATTTTGTCTATTATTAACCCTCAGAGTTTGCCCTGGGACATCCTGTATATATATATATATTGAAATATATATATATATTCTAATTCTTTTTATGAAGCATTTATGAGGGAATTAAGTACTTTACTGTAATTTTTAAAACATGTCTGTTTTATTTACATTTCAAACAATCGATACCGGTTAATGGCACCATCTAATCTTTTATCTAAAGTTTCAAAGTCAAAGGCCACTTATCCGAAGTACACTGGAAGGAGAGGTATTCCATCTAAGTAACAGAGGCGCTCAAAAGAAGTTCTTCCATTGAGAAGGGGTCTGACGTCAAGGAATTGGGAATGATCCCTCATCTCTTAGTGCATATCTATTATTATCAATGCAGAGAAGCTGAAGTCTTGTAAACATTTATTATCGTGTATTTAAAAAACAAAAAATTAATATTTTATTGAGAACTTGGACCGATGTTTTGTCGAATACTTTTTTTAATTTGTGCACGTTAATATATTATTATGTATGATCCTTTCAGTTGACAGAATGGCTAAATCCAATTTCAACATATTTGAATAATGTCATTTTAGTGATATTTCTAGTTGGAAAACTTATAATATCTATATAGGCAGTGAAGTATGTTGATTCTTGAGTAGATGATTGCAATGTTCGAAAATAGAACTGTGATTAAAGGTTCATACATATTCAGACATACCAACTCATTTTACCACTAGAAATATCACTAAAATTAATTATAAAAGATGTTGAAATTGGAGTTAGTCGTTAGGTCAACCGAAAGGCTCATATATTATACCGAATGCTAATTCTTTATGATAATTTTCTCGTAATCAGGTTAAATTTTATGATTAGTATTCTGAACTTTGGTGTTCCGCAAAACAATCACACATTAAGAAAATTCAAACAACACAATCCAAAATACTTTGTAAAATCGCCAATGCTCCTTGGTTTATTCCAAATCACACTATACACACAGAGATGAACATACCATAAGTAAAATCCTACGTATACAACAAGTACAAAGCATTTCATTCGTCGACTATTAATTATCCAAACCCACTCATACTGTCTGTTTCTTCCTCCCTGTCACCTGGTGAGCCTCAACTAAGATTAAAAAGGCAATGGCGTAGAGGTCTCCTAATCATAATGTAAATAAATATCAAGAATAAAAGAAGACAGAATAAACGGAAACACATTTGCATAATACGTTACAACGCAGTGCCAATATAATATAAAAATAAATATTCTCATATCTAGGTATCCTTAATATGTAATTATTTTTTCCATTATAACCGAAATAAGAATCCTAAAGAATTTATGAAGAATAAAAATTATTATTAACAACTCTCTAAATTTACGATCCATTTTATAAATTCAAATATATTTAGCCCCTGAGATGATTGCATGGTTCCAATCTGCTGGTTAAATCGGTTTACGATCCTGGTTAATCTTGGGCTGCGAATGGTTTTGAATTGGATTCTGCTAAAGATAGATCTCTACTTGCGTCACGGAGGAATGGATTGTAACTTAATTGTGTCAATTTAAAAAAAACAATTTTTTTTGTTATTTATGACGGCATTAATGTTAAAATAGCACCCTTCCAGACGTCAGAAATGCACAGGATTTTAGACTTTATTAAAGCTTTTAATTAAATTAATTAACAACTTTTTAAATAAATATTATAACATCGCAGCATTGCTACTAAGTTCATTATTATATTAATTTTTTATAAAATTAAAATTTATAACTGAAAAGAGACGTTTAAAAAAATTAATAAATTGACTAGTTGGAAATTTCTACTTTATTTTTAATAGGCTTTTATTTTTATTTTTTAGATAGTATAACATACATGTTTTGTTTCCGTTAGAATTTAAATGATTTAAAAGATCATTAAAAAAAAATTAAATGAAGCTCTCATAACGGTTGCTTTTAAATCAAAATGATACTATAGGTTTTAATTATTCTAAATTATAATCTGTGTGTATGTTGAATGTTAAACGATTCAATTCTAGATTCTTATTATTTTAAAGAATATAAATTTATCAATTTTTACGACAATGTTTTATTTTCGCAATGCTTCCATTTATGCAAGAGTCCCATGATGCAGACCACTTTTTATTAACTTGTTAACACCCGTCTAAAACTTCCCGAATAACTTCATTTTATCGTAACCTATAGCTACTTTTTTTACCAAAATTCACGGAAGATTTTTTTTCAATTTGAAAATGAGTATACATCGTCAATTTAATAATGAACTAAAATCTCCTATAACGCATCTGCTTTCCACTTGAACCTTCAAATAATTTAATAAAAAAATCGAAAGAAAATATGGTCTACAAAAATTTTGAGCCGTTTGGCGTGATATCCCAACGTCAAAATAATAGGCCAAACTACCCAATATTTTTGTTGGCCTCCTTTTTTCTCTATTTTGCGATCAAATTATATTGCGATTCAAGTGGAAAGCAAATGGATATTCATCACTTTTTAGTACCTCATTAAATCATTTTATATTATTTATTTAGAAAACATCCCCCTTTTGAGAGTTTTTATAGATAAAAATTTGTAGGTTATAATAAAATGGAGCTACTCACGAAGACAAGTATTAATAATTTGATAAAAAGATGATGTTTCGATGATGTATTGTTTGTAACAGTTATCATTAGTTGTACGTATTTATTTACGCATATGTCTATAAATAAGCGCATTAATAGCTACTGCGAATTATTTATATCATCATTAAAATATTGAAGATTATTTTTTTTTTTAAAAGAGGCCAATTCTGCAAACCACAATATGAGAATAAAAGAGGCACAAATGAATTTTTTTTATTTATTGAACTTTAAACTCACGTATAGTACTATATTGAGCCTCCAGAACTGATTGGTTTGATACTTGAAGTAGTTGCTTTTTGAAAAGATATAGGAGTACAACTATTAAACTACCTCTTTAAGGGTTTACGGGTAAGACTATAGGTGTATTCACACGAATTAGGCAAGTCTTAATCTCAGCGCTGATATCATCGATGAAATCATTTGGCCCAGTTTAGAGACGATCAGATGCCATCGATGAGATAAGCGCTAATTTCAAGAACTTGTCTATACCAAATGGTTACGCCCCGTGATATTATACCGCGCGACCTTCAAGTATTACTGGTTGAGTATTTATTCAGCCTTCATGCCTAAACCTTACTAATAAATAATTGTTGATCTCTTTTTCTGTTTATATTTTATGTTATTTCTTTGGAAATTAGTTAGTTGCTACTTGCCTTGATTTTATCCCCTTATGTATACAGTGTGGTCAATATTATTTAGTTTGAACAAGTTATATATTTACCTATTCCATATATATTATATGCGCAGGGTACCCTGTAGCTAAAGGGGAATATTTAAATAAGA